ATATCATTATTTTTGTAGGAACTTTTCAATTTTAAATAATAAAAAACTTAAACGGATTCATATTTGTTGTCATTGGTTTGCCGGAGCAACATCTTTATTTTTAATTGCTAAAAACAGTTATTACAATAATTATCAAATAAAAATTAAATTTTGAAACCCCCCTATAAAGTGTCCAAAGAGAAGATAGTGAATGTGTGTGTGTTTTACATTAAGTCANGCGAAAATAAGGTGAAATGTTAGAAATATGAAAAGTATGAGTCAAATTAAGATAATAATCGTGTGTAGAGATCCTAACGTTGTCGCGTAAAGAACTTGCCAGATGTCCACTAAACAAAGTCGTTAACATCGAGAATGTCTGAAACGTCAATTTCATCAAAGGGAACTTCACTTTCAGAAGTCTCATTGTTCAGATTAACCGAAACGGTTTTGCCCTTTGTCACTGGTGAGGAATCGTCAAAGTTTAGATGTTTTTTCACTTCACGAAGGTGAGAGCTCTCTGGCTTCTGAGACTGATAGTGAATGACTTCGGGAGGATCAAATTCGTGAATTTTTTTGCGCCAAATTTTGACCTGTTGATCCCACGAACGGCGACTGTACTTGACAAACTTGTCAGGAGTCACTGGGTTCTCGCGTGTCCTACTGTTCTTTGGGACTTTGGTGAGGTATGCCTGGTAGCCGATGGTGTTCTTGCCGTAATCAAGCTGTTTCTGCCGACGGAAGATGACTTGCTGGTCATTCTCATACTCCACAGGTGTTTTGATGTTGTTTCGTCGTTTGAATGGCGGCTCAGAGGAGGTAGAGCTGGAACGCAGGGAAGAGCGGCTACTCGAACGACTCAAACTGGGGCTAGTGGTGGGCTTGCGAAAGATGGCGTCGTCACTCAGCTTTGCCTTCACAACACTTTTGTTGGGAGTTTTGAAATCGTCGTAGTTTCGTTTGTTGGTGCCTGCTACTGCGGCATCAGTGACAACGGCAACGGTGCTTTGAGCCGATTGCTCACGGTAGCTGTAGTAAATGATGGCATTGTTGACCGGCAGTGGTTCGTTTGATTGAGCCTGTTGCAGGCTTTCATTGTTTGTACTTTCAAGTTGATCGACTTCAGCTGAAGCATCTGAACTAGTGATTGTAGGAAGTGGAACTTCGCTGTGCTGACTAGATGATGAAGCACCAATACCGAGACCAGAGTCGGATAAAGCCTCTTCCTGCATGCTGGAAATTACTTCAGTAGAATCGGTGTCAGCAAAGTTATCTGCAACTACAGTGGTGACAGTAGTGTCGGCCAAGTCGTCCGAATCGTTAGGGCAAAGTGCCAAAGAGGAGCTGAAATCATCTGCCAGAGAGCTGTCCAGCTCCTCCTCATCATCACTTTCCAGGAGTTTGTTCCAGTCAGAATGAAACTGTTTTAACTTTTTGTCGCTCCCCAGAATTTTAAGCAGTGCGTCGGTCTCGTTCTTTTCAGTTGCCATGATGATGTTCAATGCGCTTCAACTTAATTAGTGTTGGCAAAAAGAGAAGTCTAAATGAGAAAGTGGTTAGTGGAAACCAAATTTAAAGTCGTTACAAAAACTTACGCTGAGAAGCGTCGATGAACACAATGCAGGCAATGAGTGGGGGAGCGCGCTTCGAGTGGACCGCGCGCGAAGAAGTGCACAAACAAAGTGGCCTAGACACAAACTGGTCCTGCGGTCGGTGAGCGGGAAGTACCACTGCTTGCATGAGAGTGCCTAGGGACAATGATGCTGGCGAATGGTGCACTGAGGAGAGCACTCTCTTCTTGTCAATAGTCAATTTTGGCGGCATACTGGCATTTTGACGCCGTCCGTAGAGAGCGTGTATTACCGTTCCGTCAAACACCTTTACCGGGATTTTACAACCTTCCCAGATTTGACCGGTTATTCAGCAGTTTCTAAATGGACAGACTCAGTCGTCAATGTTGTCCGAGGAACACTGAACAATAAGATAATCATGAAATAATTACATCGAAAGGCAAAATCTAAAAAATAAACAATTGGCGCGGTTTTGAGTGCAGGTGTGCTTTACATTCACTAGGTGGCATGACGGTGTAAATTGTTTAAATGGAGTTTAATTTCCACAAGTGTCTTCAATATTCTTTGAAAATGTATATTGGCTAGCACTTTTCTAGTTGTTGTTTGTGAAAAATTGATTTTAAGTCGCTTTTCATTAGAAGCACTGTTACACCTTACAAAACGGCTGCTCCCACACTTACTCTTGCGGCCATCGATCCGCATCTAATTACCCAAAGTCAGC